AGCGAAATATTATATACATGTACAGGTATGATGACATAACAATGTTGATGAAATGACTGTAAGGTGTTGTAGAAGGGAAAAAATAATAGTAAAAAAATCTGCTAATAAAAAAAAAGACATGCGGATTGTCAAATTTGGTTCCTGTTACTGTGCAGATGCTGCAACGGTCATAAGTGCAAGGACTGGTCATAAATGGCTTTTTTCAGTGCTGTTGTAAATTTGAATGGTTGCTAAACATGGCTATATGTTGAGGATTACTGTACCAGTGCGGGGGCGTGGCCAGCCTGCTATCGTTAACAGTAACAGAAAAGGTAGGGCCGATTTCTACTACCTATTCACCCGTACCAGACCGGTAGGAACCCACCTCTCTGCTGTGCATACCTGTCCTATTTTACAGTGTATATGCAGGGTTGACCAACCATGGCAGCTTGAAGACTTGTGGACTTCAACTCCCAGAATTCCCCAGCCAGCTGGCTGGGAACCTCTGGGAGTTGAAGTCCACAGGTCTTCAAGTTGCCAATGTTGGATACTCCTGCTGTATAGTTTTGGGAGGTGGGACCTTTGTCCCATGGATTTCACATGATAGTAAGGCTCCTTTCATACAGTGGCCTCTTCAAACCATCTGAAGCAAGCTTGCAACGATCTTGTTCAATCTTTACATCCAATTAAATCTTCTTCTTCTTCTTCTTCTTCCCCGCAGAACAACAAGTGTCACTTAGAGATACCAGACGCAGGTGATGATCTAACCAACACAACCAGCGCCTGCCAAAAAGAATCCTCTGTCTTTAGTCCCTTGTCTTACTTCCAAGAAGATGTCTACTTGTCCAATGCTTCCCCCCGACCCACATCCTTATGCCATCCAACGCCAGGTCCAGGATGCCCCCAAAAGCCCTACGTGTGAACCAACACAACCAAGCAAAAGAGAAGAAAGGGGGGGGGGAACCTTTCCATGTCTTCAACATCCATGCGTCCACCACAACCTGGGTCCCTTCCCTAACCCTCCACACCCAGTAGGAACTTATCAAGTGTGTCTGTGTGTCTGTTGAGTATGAGTGGACATCGTGACTGCCACCTTCCTTTCTCTCTCTTATTTGTCTCTCTCTTATTTTTCTCTCCCCTCCCCGTTTTTTGTTGTTGTTGAAAAGTATTGGTGCGTTGGTATTTTTCATCATTAGATTAAGGCTGCGATCCTGAAGGAGGGCGCGAACCACTTGAAATTCCCCAAGGGGAATACTTGCAAGTGCAGGATTTGGGGGCCACTCAGCATGTCACTGCCTTCTTTGCAATCTTTTTTTTTACGAATCCATCCTTAATTTTCATCCCCTTTTTAATCCCTTTCTTTTGAATAATTGACCCCCCCCACACCCGCCGCAGTAAGCCGTTGCTTCCCAACTGGTGTTGTGCATCTTTGTATCTGTGCCACCACAATTCCCTAGCGGAAAATGCCAGATTTCCTCCCCCCCCCCTTCCCACGTGTTCATTATCTGCTTTCCAGTTATGGGATTTGCACTATGGTGAAATTTCAAGTGAGCACAGCATTTGCTCCCCACGCCCCACCCCGCCATGAGACTCTGAATCTTGTCATTCTTTCTGAGTGCAACATTGACCGATCTGGGAAGATTGTTTTATTTTTTTATTTGATTTGATTTACTTATTTTTTTGAGCACAGGGGCTTGGAGTTTCAACCATCCTATTCATCTCTGGAAATCGGAGCCTTGTTCCCTTTTCCTGGCTGCTTGTTTCTTTTGGGGGAACAAGGCACTTTCTCTGTGATGGAGCTGGATACAAAGATGTTTTCAAAGAAAACTCCGGTGAATACCCACGCTCAAAAAACATGCTCCGTTTCCCTTGTCTAAGCCCTCTGGTTATCCCTGATTATTGTTCTTTCTGCTTACAAGTCGTTCAAGCCAGAGATCATGCAAGGGGAACATGGGATAGGAGGGGGGGGATGCATTCAGACAGGAAGGGAAGGGAAGGAAGGAGAGGAGAGAAGAAAAAGAAGAGGAGGAGGAAAAGAAGGAAGGATGGGAGGGAGGGAGAGTAGAAGAAGAAAAGAAGAAAAAGAAGAGGAGGAGAAGGAAAGGAGGGAGGGAGGATAGAAGACAAAAAATAGAAAAAGGAGGAGGAAGGAAGGAAGGAAAGGAGGGAGGGAGGATAGAAGAAAAAGAAGAAAAAGGAGGAGGAAGAAGAAGGAAGGAAGGAAGGAAGGAAAGGAGGGAGGGAGGATAGAAGAAAAAGAAGAAAAAGGAGGAGGAAGAAAAAGGAAGGAAAAAAGATTAAAGAAAAGAAGAAAAAATGAGGAGGAGGGAGGGAGGAATTGAGGGAGGGATGGTAGAAGAAGAAAAGAAGAAAAAGAGGCGAGGAAGGAAGGTAAGAAGGAAGGACAAAGAAAAGGGGGGGGATTTTGTTGTTCAGGCTAAAAAAAGTTGATCAACTAAATTTTGCATTGACGAATACTTTCAGGTACCCCTTGCTCTTAACAAAGGATGAAAGCCAGCCTAGATCAGACCTTTGAAAACAATTGTTGTGATTGCTTCTTTAAAGAATGTCCATAGTGTTTTGCACATTTAGAGAGTTGCAGTGTGAATGGGATTACGATCATGTACAACTTCAAAGAGTTACAGTTACGGGAGTTTCTATCTTCCCTCCCCATTTTACTATGTACAATAGAGCGATAATTCAGTATAGTGGCCAAGGCACCAGACTAGAGACCAAGAATTCTAGTCGTGAAGCCAATTGGGTGACCTTGAGCCAGTCCCTTTCTCTTGGCCCTAGAAAAGAGACAATGGTGAACCACTTCTGAAAAATCCCGTCAAGAAAAACATCCAGGGACTTCTCCAGGCCGTCTCTGAAAATCAGACATGATTGAAAGGAAGGAACGAAGAAAACAACAGGATTGTAGATAAAATGGGAGAGGAGATAGAAGAATTCCTGGGGGGGAGAAAGGGTCGTACAAACTATGATTAATCTGAGGCAATACAGAAGAAGCAAGGAATTGGTAGGGCTTATGTAAGGAGATATTCTAAGCCAGTGGTTCCCAAACTTGGCAACTTTAAGACTTGTGGACTTCAACTCCCAGAATTCTCTAGCCAGCAGAGCTGGCTGGAGAATTCTGGGAGTTGAAGTCCACAAGTCTTAAAGTTGCCAAGTTTGGGAACCACTGTTCTAAGCTAAAGATGAACCATCCTTGCTGTTGATGAAGTGAGCTGTCTAATCGATCGGTGTTTCTCAAACCTTGACAACTGGAACAGGTGTGGACTTCTTTGCTGGCTGGGGGGGGGGGATTCTGAAGGTTGAAGTCCACACCTCTTTGGGTGCTCAAGGTGTGAGAACTAATGGTCCACAGCCTTCTGCCAATGACCCAAGGAGACCCTGAGAGAAAAGGGACAGTATTTTAATCTGCCATGATGAGCCGTGATTCAGGAATCTGGTGAATTGATCGACTAACGGTATGGAGAAGATCCACTGGGGGGGAAGCCTACAGTGGAAGCTCAGTTGATATTTATTTTTGTACCTTGTGTTGGAGAAGGCTAAATATTGTTTGATGCACTCTGGATCCCAGTGGATTCCCATGCACTTTGGATGTCACCTCAACTTGGGTTTCCTCTCTTTCCCCAAACCCTTCCCCCGTGCCCTCTTCAAACCTAGCGTTGCCATTTCAGCATTTGCCCACAAAATACCAAGCTGTATTCACACTACCTCAAGCCATTTCCTAGAAGCCGAACGAAACGAGCATCTGACGAAGCCCCGATGACAAAAGTACCCCCGAAAGCAAGATGGCAACCCTCCCCTCGCAACCCATCGCTACGACCACTCTTGCCAACGTCAAGTTTAGAACACGGTTGCCTCACACTTGACGCCACCTCTTGCCCGAAAGAGCTGCGAGAGGAAAATGCTGATATCACAATAAATGGTGCTGCTGGTTTCCTCCATTCCCACCTTGACAGGCCCACCTGCTTTCTCCAGGAGCAATGCTTCAACCTGGTTAACACATTGATGATTGGTTCTGAGGTCTATGTTGGCCAGGGCATGGAATGTGATTGGGGGGGGGGAGAAGGGGGTTACGATAACATGTTAGCACTTTAAATATATGGTCCAAAATTAAACCCAGTTGAAGTAAGTCATTCCAGATGTGCTGTTTGGTCTCTGTTCGCCTTGGTCTCTCTCTTTTTGTCCTCTGAAAAATATCATGATAGACATAACATCTTCTAAAACTTGAAAGGCTGTCATTATAGGGAAGAGGGGTCAATTTATTCACAAAAGCACATAAAGGCAGGAATAGAGTAGAATAGAATAGAATAGAATAGAATAGAATAACAGAGTTGGAGGGGTCCTTGGAGGTCTTCTAGTTCAACCCCCTCCTTAGGCATGAAACTCTACACCACTTCAGACAAATGTTTATCCAACATCTTCTTAAAAACTTCCAGTGCTGGAGCATTCACAACTTCTGGAGGCAAGTTGTTCCACTGGTTAATTGTTTTAACTGTCAGGAAATTTCTTTTTAGTTCTAAGCTGCTTCTCTCCTTGATTAGTTTCCGCCCATTGCTCCTTGTTCTACCCTCAGGTATTTGGGAGAATAGTTTGACTCCCTCTTCTTTGGGGCGACCCCTGAGATATTGAAACACTGCTATCATGTCTCTCCTAGTCCTTCTTTTCATCCAACTAGACATACCCAGGTCCTGCAACTGTTCTTCATATGTTTTAGCTTCCAGTCCCCTAATCATCTTTGTTGCTCTTCTCTGCACTCTTTCTAGAGTCTCCACATCTTTTCTACATCGTTGCAACCAAAACTGGTTGCCGTATTCTAAGTATGGCCTGACCAAGGCCTTATAAAGTGGTATTTACACTTCACGTGATCTTGATTCTATCCCTCTGTTTATGCAGCCTTGGTTCTGTAGGACTTATTTCAAGATTGCTGGACACCCAGCTCTGGAGCCTCCAGTGAGGCTTCCTTTTGCCAAAAGCACAAGCTGGAGCAGGGGTGTCAAACTCAGGACAAGAAGCAATGGGTGGAAACTCATCAAAGGGAGATCCAACCTGAAAGAAGGAATTTCCTGACAGTGAGAACCATTCATAAAATGGAAGCATTTCCTCCTGGATTTGGGAGTGCTCCATCGCTGAAGGTTTTCAAGAAAAGATTGGACAACCATTTGTCTAGGATGGCATAAGATTCCTGCCTGGACAGAGGGTTGGACTAGAAGATCCCCAAGATCCTTACCAGCCCAGGATTCTAGGATTGCAGTTCTTTGTCTGTTCAGTAATAAGTTGCAATGACACCACTCCATTACTTGTTCTTCTACCCGTGACTAGGAATCCTTCAGACTGTGAATAGTTGAATGAGGTCCACATTGAGTAATCCTCAAGCGCTTAGATAATTCTCAGAAATCTTGGCCAGAATAGTGATATGATGGGGAGGATATCCAGGGCATATGAGTTCAATACTCAGTGGCTAAGATGCTGAGCTTGTCAATCAGAAAGATCGGCAGTTTGGCAGTTCAAATCCCTAGCACCAAGTAATGGAGAGAGCTCCCATGACTTGTCTCAACTCCTGCCAACCTAGCAGTTTGAAAGCATGTAAAATGCAAGTAGAAAAATAGGGACCACCTTTGGTGGGAAGGTAACAACATTCTGTGCGCCTTTGGCATTGAGTCATGCCGGCCACATGACCATGGAGACGTCTTCAGACAGTGCTGGCTCCTCGGCTTTGAAACAGAGTTGGGAGCAACTGGCACTTATGTGCAAGGGAAACCTTTACCTTTTCTTACATACAGAAAGTATTGAGTCTGAAATCAAAGAGGAGTAAAAACCTCTTCAGAACATCATAAAGAATTTCTCCTGTACTTTAAAACTTCTAAACTAGTCAGGGTTTATCTCCAAGATCATGATTAAGATTAGCTTGCATCTGTAGAATCCTGCAAAGGGTTAATGCACCAACGTGAATGACAACCACAGAGAGATACAGAGAGAGAGAGAGAGGGAGAGTTTTCTGACATGTTAGATACTTGGATTGATGAGCACGTAGCACATGTCTTAGCTTCAAGGTGATGTTTGACAAGCCTTGTCTGGTGCTGACATGCCACATGGAAAACATCAAGGAAGGATAAGGTTGAGCTGTGAAAGCAGCAGCATCCTCCATCAACGGTGCTGGGAAAGGGAGACAGCTCCCATTTAATTACATGCTCCACTAATACCCATGAATCACTGTGGCCCAGCGCTAATTTCTTCACACCGGTGGCACCGGCAGGGATCCAACATCTCCTGGCATGGCTCTGAGCGGTGGCCAAAGTTAGCTTAGGCGGAGCGTTTCTGGAGGGATCAAGGTTTGAAGAAAAGCATCAGAAGGATTCACGATGCTCACA